GGAGAATGATATAAAAGTCTTAAAAGACTTAATTAATTCAACTTAGATCCTAATTGCTAAACATTTGAAATTTGAAAATTCAGTCAATTTTATAATTTTGTTGTGATGAATTTACAATTTATTTTTTAAATTTTAACATGATTAAATAATAAATAAATTTATTTTTTGTATTAAAATTTAGAACACAAGTTTTAAATTCATCACAATAAAATTATAAAATTAAAAGTCAAATTTACAAATTCTTAATATTCAACACTTGAAACTTAAGTTTAATTAATTGGCCCTTTTTAAAATCTATCTGTCATTTACACTTTCTTATATCCAACCCTTATTAACACAGCCCACAGATGAGCTTGAAAGCTCTTATAATTTTTTTAATTAAAATTTTTAATTATATTAATGCTTATATAAATTACCAAATAATTTAATCAAATATTTAAAATAGAAATAGTCTTTAGTCTTTTTTAACATCAAAGAGCCAATTTTATTTATTATAAGAAAAAAGTATTACCCCCACCAATTCCAAAAAGCTGGGAAAAAAAAAAAAAACAGGTACAAGCCGAAAGAAACAAAAGATACAAAAGGCCGGCCAGTAGTGTGAAAGAAACACCAAAAAAAAAAAAAACGAGGACGACGACGAGTCGACGACCGAAAAGCAATAAAGCAATGCCAGTACGTCTCTGAAGAATAACATGTGCCGCATGTGCCATCTCTGAAAAATAATGTCCGGAAAGTTTGAATTAAAAACGTTGACGCAGGGAAAGAAAGCTGCGAAAGGAAACTGTGATGGGGCAGCTGAGAAATGTGAAGAAAGGCCCTAATGGTGAAGACCCAATTGCTCATCACGTGGCCAAAGGTTTCCTGGGGAATCTGAATATTAATGGATAAAGCCGCAAATATGAGTCAAATTATGTAAGTCCATTTAAATAATTAATTATAAGAGTTGGGTTAAAAAAAAATTTAAATAAAAATAAGTTTTTTTTACCCAAACCATATGGGTTAATCTTAATGAGTTAGGATTGGCTCGTTTAACTTACTATCATCATTCAAAAATATAAAGTATTTTTAATTAAATCTCACCCTATTAAAATAATTACCTACTTTCAAACTAATCCTATCTTTTTAAATTTATCCCTATTAAACACCCTATAATAAATATAAAGCCATTATCAATAGGGGCACTTAAAAAAAGACAATGATTATACTTTAAAAACTAAAAATGTCTTATATTTTTTAACATTTAACTACTTAAAAAATGTCTTACATTTTTGAACGAAGGGAATATATTATTTTTAAAAATTAAAAAAGAAAAAAGAAAAAATTTTGTGGATATAAACCATATTGGATATGACTTACTTAATTGGATCAATTCATATATTTTGTACGAACATTATAAATTAATATTTTAATATATTTAGAATAAATCATGAAGAAATATCAAATTAAAACTTATTATTTGGATGCATTTTTAAAAGAAATTCATAAAAATAAATTAATAAATAGGTTGGTCGATTGGCTCATTTAACTCGCCAACTCTTAAGAATTGGGTTAAAATTTTTTCAACTTATATAAAAATAAGTTAGACCCAACTCAACTCACATTTCTTTCAATCCATATAGGCTAACTCATATGGTCTAAGTTGACCCATATTCACACATCTAATTATGGAAAATTATGGAGAGTAGCAAAAGGGATTGGTTCAAACAGTTAATGATTGGACATTAAAAAAGAAAAAAATTAATTATTTAATCTTTATAATTTTAATTCAATTGTAATTTAATTTCTGAGCTTTAATTTATTATAACTCAATTCTTATAATATAATTTTGAATTTTGCAACTCAATTCCTGTAATTTTAACTATTTAAATATTGTCTCTATATTTTTAAAAATAAAATTATAAATATTAAAATTCTTTTAAAATTTTAATCTTTATAATTTTTCTAAAGACTAAAAGGGTTTAGTAATTTAAAATATTAATCCTATATTTTGTCATAATTTTAATTTTTACAATTTTATTTTTTTAAAAAAATATAAGGAACAATATTTTAATCAATTAAAACTATTAGGATTGAATTACAATAATTAAATTTTAGAGATTGAATTAAAACTAAGTCATAATTATAAAAACTAAGTTATAACAACTCAAAGGTTAAGAACTAAATTATAATTGAGCCAAAACTTCAATAACTAAATGATTAATTTTTTATAAAAAAAACTAAGCATACAATTGTAAAATAATATAAGAAAATTAAAATAAAAAATATAAACAATGAATAGGCAATATTTATTTAATTAAGAATTATAAAATTAAAGAAAATGTAAAATATATAATCATTATGGAAATAAAAATAAAAATAAAATAAATAAAATTTGTAATTATATTTATGATATAATATTATTAAAAAGAACTAATTTCTGGTGAGACAAGTGGATGGGTTATAAAAAAAAAAAAACCGTGTGTGTGTGTGTGTGATTGGGAGTGTTAGATGTGCAGAGGATAGGCAGTTTTGAACAATTTTTTTTTTTTTAAAGAAAGAGCTTCAAAAATAAATAAAATTAAAAATAAAATAAACGCCCGACCTTCGACTGGAAAAAAGAAATTTAAAGGATTACAAAATTAAAGGAAAATGTAAAATGTATAATCACTATATATTATGGAAATTAAAAAAAAAAAAAAACAACGAAAGTGAAAAGCATTAAGCAATGCCAGCATGTCTCCTAACACTACCATGTGCCTTATGAGCCATCTCTCGTGTCTTACCTTTACCCAGCAGATCAGCCAACAACACATCAGATAAATTAGGGGCTCGTTTGGTTTGCTCATGTTTTTCATTCAACAAGTAAAATTGAAAGTTGTTTAAATAAAATATTTTATAAAAAATATATTTAAATAGTGCCGAAAGTTTTGGCCCAAAAAAAAAATAATGGCTGAAAGTGAATTTAAAAAACATAACTATTTAAAATTTTTAAAAAATAAATTTAAAAAATAAGATGTTATTTGACTATAATACTGTAAATTTAATCTGTTATTTTTTTACTTAAAAAATAATTAATTCATTAAAAATATAATTATCATTTTAATAATAATAATTATGTATCAAGTTTTTAGCATCATAAATTAAATAATTAATTATTTTAATTTTTAGCATTAATGTATAATAAAAATTATAAATCTTTATCACATTTTTTAAAATTACAAATTTAAAAAGTACAAATAACTAGATATCAAGTTTTTAACATTATAGATTAAATTTTATGTTATTTAAAATCTTTATCACATTTTTTAAATATTTTAAATATATTATATTTGTATAATAAAAATTACAAATAATCATGAATCAATATCTTTTTTAATAATTATACATTTAAAAGCACATTTTACTATCATAATCCAAACAATTTTTAGCATACCAAATTAATTTTTAAAAAAATATATCCAAACACAAATTTCGCTGTAATAACTAACTTTTAATAAATTAATTTTTGCTAAATAAACTTTCACTATATAGATTTTTGATAGACTAAAAACAAAACACACACTCTTCCCAATTTATTACTTCTTGTTTAAAATATAACTAGTTTCTAACAAAAATATGTATACCAATAAAATTCGTATGTGCATGAAAGTATATATTATTTTATTTTTTATTTTTAGTTTCTATGTATGATGAGTGAGAAAAAGATCCAAAATTCCCAGACACAAAAATCTAAATTAATAAATACAAAAAATAAAATGTAAAAAAAATTATAAGTACTATATTACTTATATTTTGTATTAAGATAGTAAAAAAAATGTTTATATTAGGAAGTTTTTTTTTTTTGGGTCATAAATAGGAAGTTTGAATTAAAACGCTGATGCAGAGAAGAAAGCTGAGAAAGGAAACTGTGACGAGGCAGAGAAGAAAGCTGAGAAAGGCCCTAATGGTGAAGACCCAATTGGTCATGACGTGGCCAAAAGTTTCCTGGGGAATCAGAATATTAATGGAGAGCAGCAGCGCATGGGACCAGTTCAAAGTTCAAACTGTTGATGGTTGGACATAAAAAAATAAGCATACAATTGTAAAATAATATAAGTAAATTAAAGTAAAAAATGTAAACAATGAATATGCAATATATTATTAAAATATTTAACTAAGAATTACAAAATTAAAGGAAAAATGTAAATATATAATCATTAACGTTATGGATATAAAATGTAATTAAAATAAATAATTTTTGTAATAATATTTAAAAAAAATATAATTTTGAGTCCCTGTACTTTATTCAAATTTTATTATAAGTCTTTATACTTTTTTTTAATATTCTAAGTCCCTATACTTTTATTTTTTAATTCTTTAGAACAATATATTTGTAATGTTTTTTCTAATATTCATAACACTCCTTCCATCTCAAATTATAAGATATTTTTAAAAAAGATTTAACATTTTAAAATATAAGACACTTTGATAAAAATAAGGTTTCATTTATGATATTTTTTTAATATTATCCTTTATATATATTATTTCTATTCAATATTTTTTTATCAATGGAGTATTAAATAAGGATATTTTTAAAAATTTATTTTTTTATCTTCAAAAAATAAAATTTTAAAATATATTTAATAAATTTTATTGATGAGATCTTATCTAAAAATATTTTATAATTTAAGACAAAGTGAGTATAAAATTATTAAAAAATAATATTTTCTGGTGAGACAGGTCAATTGGTTATGAGAAAACCAATTACATATATATATATATATATATATATATATATTATATTTGTAATTGACTGATGCTTGGAATTGAGAGCTGTAAAGAGTTAAGGGGGACTGTTAGATGTGGCAGAGCATGGATATTTTTGAAGATTTTTTTTTTTTTTTTTAAGGAAGAGCTTCAAAAATATTAAAAAATAAAACAAAAGCCAAGTGCTTCTACTGGAAAACACAACGTCTCTATTTACTTTGCATCCGAACGTCTTTCACGTCACTCTTCCTTTCACTTCCGCTCTCTCCCCTTCTTTCACATCACTCTTCATTATAGTCGCTTGAACTGCTTCCATGCAATGCATGTTGGTTTCACCATTTCAGTTTCAGTTGGACTCTTCTGCAACTTTTTTCTTCTTCATTCTGAGTATTCGAAGGTCGCGGCTAGCATCTCAGCATCTGGTATGAGCTTCATCTTTTTCTTTTGAGTTCCTCTCCACATTTTTCATATCTTTTAGCTGTTGAAGTTAAAAATCGTTTTGGCAGATTTTGATTCTGGATTTTTTGGCTACTGGCTTTTCCTTCTTTTTCTTTCTTCTTCTTCTTCTTCTTCTTCCTGCTTCCTCGACCCGCCCCAGGGTTCCGGCACCACTCGGCCAGTTCTTCCAAACTCGTCCCTACGTCTCTGCTTTGGCTGCTTCGAAGCTCTACAGGTATGAGCTTTGCTAGCTTCTTGTCTTTTTACCCTGTTACTTTGCTTTTGTCTCGTCTCTGCTTGCTCGGCACTGTCCAGGACTTTTGTAGCTCCTCTCTCCTCTGGTTTTGAACTCCATCAACCAAGTCTAGTTAGTTTTAAATTTCTCTATGATTCAAAATAGTAATGATTATATTACCAAAAAAACAAAATCTACATTCCAAGAAATTTGCATGTGTTGAAATTTAGGGAGTTGCAAGAAAGTCTGAAACTCAGTTAACACTGTGAGACCCAACCAGATTTGGTTTTAAGTTAAAAAAAAAAAAAACAACAGCAACCCAAACAAACACTGGACCGGACTAGTCTGGTCTGATCCGTGTTTAATTATTTTTGCAAATATTTTTTATTTGTATATTTTTGTTTTTAGATGTTTTCTGCCATTTTTATAATCTTATCAATTCATCATTTCTTCACTCTCTTGAGCACGATGCGGTCCTCTCAATTTATTTTTTTCTTCTTTAGTTTGCGATTTTGTGTTCTCGATCTCTACGTAATGTATTCTCTGTTCTTTCTTGTCCTTTCTTCACAATCAACTTTGCATCTCATACCGTTCAAATCTAATATATCTTTTCCTCCTCATCGCAAATCTGTGTACCTCCTTCATTCTTGTTGTCAACCTCTGCTTCTTCTTCCTCATCGCAAGTCTGGTTCGGTTTGGAGCCGGGTTCAACCGGACCGGACAAGACCGGAGGGCTAAAATATCTAGCCCGATATAAAAGCAAACCAGATCGGTCTAGTGTGGCTGTTGTGCAGCCCAAAATATTTACGTATCATTTCTTCATTTTGTTATAGAAAAGCAGTTTTTTTTTTTAACGTGTAGTCTGAAACATTGAGCTGAGTTGGAGCAATTTTTACCATGTTAAAAGGACCTTTTGTGCCACGTCAGGTTATCATTTGGCTTGCTCCAATTTACTACAACATTAATCAACCCCTTTCACATTGGCTGCTGCTTGCTACTGTTATCTGATTGAATTTATTATTATATAATTAATTCACTCACACCCAAATTATTACAAATCAAATGGAGGTAAATTTAATTTTGGTATGACATTAGATTAGGACTAGTCTTAAGGTTCAAAAGATTAGGGGATATGAGTTATTTCAGGGTCAACTATATCAATTTTTATTTGCATTTTAAAGGCAAAATTACTATATGTATGTATGTTTCATCATGTTATTTTCAAGCAATAACTTTGTATTAGTATTATTAGAAAAAGTTAAAATTATAGCCTGCATAATTTATTTGCACTAAATATCTTTATTTTTCATATTTTGTACTTTCTTTAAGATTTAAAGATGGCTTCTTCATCGCACCCTCAAGCTCGCATTAGTACATTACTTTTTAGAAAGTAATTGAATTTAAATTACACGTTCTAGCACTTATGTCTATGTTATTCACGTGGTATTTATTGTCCAGGCAATTGAGTTGCTAGCAATAAAATTTTTTTATATTATGTAAAACTGTTTATGGTATTAATTAATAATTAAACATTTTAAATTATTAAAAACAATAATGAGTTTGGCAACAATTTTAAATTAATAATTATTAAAATGTTAAAAATAACAGAAAATTATGTAAGTACTTATCAATATGCTTATTCTTGTTAAAAAATTCTTTTTCAAAATCAAAACGTTTTGATTTTCCTAGATCACAAATTTTGGCAACAATTTGCTTGTGTTATTTATCTTTATGAGAGGAAACTAATATAATATTATATGATGTTAAGTTTTTATCCATTTTTGATTTATGAATTTGAAAAATAGCTCAAACTGTATCCCTAAGCACCAAAAAAATACAATCGTCTAGTGATACATATTTCTTATGAAATTCTTTATTTTCATTTTCCCCTCGTTTATGGTGCCTAGGGTTATTATTAGTGTTGTTTTTTTAAATCCACAAATTGAAAATAATGTATAGGAATTTGATATTAGATGATATTATATTAGTTTTATCTCATGAAGATAATGAAGATAGATAATTTATTATCAAGATTTGTGATTTGAAAAATCCAGACTAATTGATTTAGAAAAAATTGGCTAGATGAGAACAAGTATATTGATGGGTATTTCTATAATTTTTTATTATCTTCTAACATTTTATAACTTTAATAAAATTTTAATAATGAGAAGTAATTTTTTTATATTATGTAAAACTGTCTATGGTATTAATTAATAATTAAAAATTGTAACTTATTAAAAAAATAATGAATTTGGCAAAAATATTAAATGAATAATTATTAAAATGTTAAAATTAATAAAAAAAATTATGTAAGTACTTATCAATACGCTTATTCTTCTTACATCAATCTTTTTCAAAATCAAAATGTTTTGATTTTCGTAGATCACAAATTTTGGCAACAATTTGCTTGTGTTAATTATCTTCACATGATGGAATTAATACAATATTATCTGATTTTAAGTTTTTATGCATCTTCGATATATGAATTTGAAAAATAGCTCAAACTGTATCCCTAAGCACCAAAAAAATAAAATCATCTGGTGATACATATTTCTTTTGAAATTCTTTATTTTCATTTTTCCATCGTTTATGGTGCCTAGGGTTATTGTTAGTGTTGTTTTTTAAATCCACAAATTGAAACTAATGTATAGGAATTTGATACTAGATGATATTATATTAGTTTTGTCGCATGAAGATAATGAAGATAGACAATTTATTATCAAGATTTGTGATTTGAAAAATCCAAACGAATTGATTTAGAAACAATCAGCTAGATGAGAACAAGTATATTGATGGGTATTTTTATAAATTTTTACCTTCTTTTAACATTTTATAATTTTAATAAACTTGTAATAATGAGAAATAATTTTTCTATATTATGTAAAACTGTTTATTGTATTAATTAATAATTAAAAATTTTAAATTATTAAAAACCATAATGAATTTGGCAACAGTTTTAAATGAATAATTATTAAAATGTTAAAAATAATAAAAAAAATTATGTAAGTACTTATCAATATGCTCATTCTTCTTAAAACAATGTTTTTCAAAATCAAAATGTTTTGATTTTCGTAGATCACACATTTTGGCAACAATTTGCCTGTGTTAATTATTTTCACGCGACGGAACTAATACAATATTATCTAATGTTAAGTTTTTATACATTTTTGACATATGAATTTAAAAAATAGCTCAAACTGTATCCCTAAGCACCAAAAAAATACAATCGTTTGGTGATACATATTTCTAATGAAATTCTTTATTTTCATTTTTTCCTTGTTTATGGTGCCTTGGGTTATTGTTAGTGTTGTTTTATAAATCCACAAATTGAAAATAATGTATAGGAATTTGGTACTAGATGGTATTATATTAGTTTTGTCTCATGAAGATAATGAAGATAGACAATTTATCACCAAGAGTTGTGTTTTGAAAAATCCAGGCAAATTGATTTTGAAACAATTGGCTAGATGAGGACAAGTATATTGATGGGTATTTCTATAATTTTTTATCATCTTTTAACATTTTATAATTTCAATAAAATTGTAATCATGAGAAATAATTTTTTTATATTATGTAAAACTGCCTATAGTATTAATTAATAATTGAAAATTTTAAATTATTAAAAACCATAATGAATTTGGCAACAGTTTTAAATGAATAATTATTAAAATGTTAAAAATAATAAAAAATTATGTAAGTGCTTATCAATATGCTTATTCTTCTTAAAACAATCTTTTTCAAAATCAAAATATTTTGATTTTCCTAGATCACAAATTTTGACAACAATTTACCTGTGTTAATTATCTTCACACGACGGAACTAATACAATATTATCTAATGTTAAGTTTTTATACATCTTTGATTTATGAATTTGAAAAATAGCTCAAACTGTATCCCTAAGCACCAAAAAAATATGATCGTCTGGTGATACATATTTCTAATAAAATTCTTTATTTTCATTTTCCCCTCGTTTATGGTGCCTAGGGTTACTGCTAGTGTTGTTTTTTAAATCCACAAATTGAAAATAATGTATAGGAATTTGGTACTAGATGATATTATATTAGTTTTGTCTCATGAAGATAATGAAGATAGACAATTTATCACCAAGATTTGTGTTTTGAAAAATCCAGGCAAATTGATTTAGAAACAATTGGCTAGATGAGAACAAGTATATTGATGGGTATTTCTATAATTTTTTATCATCTTTTAACATTTTATAATTTCAATAAAATTGTAATAATGAGAAATAATTTTTTTATATTATGTAAAACTGTTTATAGTATTAATTAATAATTAAAAATTTTAAATTATTAAAAACCATAATGAATTTGGCAACAGTTTTAAATGAATAATTATTAAAATGTTAAAAATAATAAAAAAATTATGTAAGTACTTATCAATATGCTTATTCTTCTTAAAACAATGTTTTTCAAAATCAAAATGTTTTGATTTTCGTAGATCACACATTTTGGCAACAATTTGCCTGTGTTAATTATCTTCACGCGACGGAATTAATACAATATTATCTAATGTTATGTTTTTATCCATTTTCGACATATGAATTTGAAAAATAGCTCAAACTGTATCCCTAAGCACCAAAAAAATACGATCGTCTGGTGATACATATTTCTTTTGAAATTCTTTATTTTCATTTTTCCATCGTTTATGGTGCCTAGGGTTATTGTTAGTGTTGTTTTTTAAATCCACAAATTGAAAATAATGTATAGGAATTTGATACTAGATGATATTATATTAGTTTTGTCGCATGAAGATAATGAAGATAGACAATTTATCACCAAGAGTTGTGTTTTGAAAAATCCAGGCAAATTGATTTAGAAACAATCGGCTAGATGAGGACAAGTATATTGATGGGTATTTCTATAATTTTTTATTATCTTTTAAAATTTTATAACTTTAATAAAATTTTAATAATGAGAAATAAATTTTTTTATATTATCTAAAATGATAATTAAAATTTTTAAATTATTAAAGTTTCAAAATGTAAAAAACAACAAAAAATTACAAAAATACTTATCAATATGCTTATTCTCATTAAACCAATCTTCTCCTACATCAAAATGTTTTGATTTGTCTAGATGACAAATTTTGGCAACAATTTGCCTATTTTAATTATTTTCATTGGTTGAAACTAACACAATGTTATCTGGCATTAAGTTTCTATCAAACATTTCTTATATTTCTGACAATACACCATTATGATAACCATGGTTAATTATATTTCTTATAAAAAATTATCATACCATAAGAAACTCTTTTTGAAAAGATGTATGAGCTCAAATTATAATTTAAAACAAATTAAACAAGGTAGTGGAAGCATAGAAAACAAGATACATCTCTTAAACACCTTAAATGGGGTATTCTAGAAATTCTCCAGAAATGCACCATTAGCCACAGCGGATGGCATAGAGGACTACGTTCCTTTCTGTGCATTGCGATGCAACACACTCTTGCTGCCATTGATAGCACTTTGAAACCAATTTTCGGAACATGTCATTTCACATTCGATATTCAATTTAAGCAATTCAAGTGTCTACATGTAGCTCTTTAAGCCACCTAGTTATTGGAACCAGTCTCATACCTATACTCTTTACAATTTCAAAGTTGAACACCCAAACATAAAATGATCCATTTTCTTTTCAAAATAGCCACAAGAGTGTCCAAACCCACATATCTAGTGCCAATAACCTTGAAACCACTTGAACCAAATGAAATGGATCACAAACAATCTGATAGAACAATTATACAACAATCAAAACAATCTAAATATAGATTGGCCACCAAAACCCCAATTCCATAATGAATTCAAAGGGATGACAAAAATTCACATTAAACATCATGTTAGCCATTCCAACACATAAACAGTACAAAAACATCACTTGTATTAATATCTCAACCTCTTATTATAATTTCAACGCAGATAATCATTCTAGGCCGAGATACATGTTAACTTCTAGAAGTTCATGTTATTTCATCACATTTTCTTTAGATTCTAATCCATTTTGACTCAATTGTATATGTTTTTATTGCCCAAATTAGGAAAATGTGCATTTTATTTTGGGTTTATATTCTTAGCTTTGATTTGTTATTTTTGGCCTAAGTTCATATTATTTTGGTTGAAATTTCAATTACAAGCATTTCTGGAGCTTTGTGGATGTTTTTAGAAGGCTTTTGGATGAAAAAATTAAGCACAAAATGAATGATTTTTGTTAGCTGCAAAAACAGTGTAAAACTGCCAAAGTTGTCCCAAATTCGCGACTTTCATTCGCGACTTTTGCCTCTGTTAGAAAAATGCTGTATTTCATTTATCAGAAATTAGTTGGCTAGAACATATATAAGCTGAAAGCTCGAACCAGAACACATTCTTTAGACTTTTAAATACATTTGGAGCTTGGTTGTGCTAGGGTTTGGGCATTAGAAGAGTTAAGATTAAGAGATTGAAGCTTTGAAGACATTTAGAGCTCATTTTCTTTAGTTTTTCTATTCCTCTTCCCTTACCTCTTGTAATATGAAATGGGTCCACTTATTTTGTATATTTATAACTTGTGGATGATTATGAGTAGCTAAACCCTTTGTTCTAGGATTATTTGAAACCCTTGTATGGATTAACACTATATTTCTCCTCTCTTTTTGTGATAATGATATATATGCGTTTATTTTACTCTTTTCTTAATGCTTCTAAGTGATTGGCCATTATTTAGATGTTAGGTTCACTTAATTGATGTTTGAAAGGGCTAGGTTGAGTGTAAAACTTGGGTAATATTGTGCAAGAACTTGATATTTACATGTTGAATAGATGGTTTTGCTAGTAAGATAGAGATATACTTGCTAGCCTTGCATAGCCACATTAGGGTTGGTGTTTAAAATTGAGTTTTATTAATTGTAACATGAGATTGGGCAATTAATCTAACTAAACACTTGTTCATGACTTGAGAGAACTTGTCCAAGTATTTTTAGAACCCTAGGTTAGCACTTATTTTCATTAAAAACATTTATGAGAGGGGGTAATTCTGGTGTCCTAAAATGCAAGGGGCATAAATAATCCTAGGTCCTAAATTATGTTTGAAGTTTGTAAATCACTCACTTTTCTTTATTTTCTAGTGTTAGTTTCATTTGCAAAATCATTTTCACCTAACTATGTGTAGCTCAAGTTGATCGAATTTGCTTAGTCTTTTGCTTGATTATAGTTTTTAAACAAATCCTTAAGGGAATAATACTTTACTCATTTTATATTATTTGCTATGAACTGTACACTTGCGGTGAGCAATAACTTTTTAGTGCCGTTGCTGGGGATTTGCTTTTGAAAATATTTTGATCAATTTTAGACTAATGATATTAGATTTTGCTTGAGCTTTGTAGATATTAGTTCTAGATTTTTATTTTGTCTTTGTTTAGTGTTTTTGTTTTAGTTTGATACTTCTTTAGTTATTTTCTTCTTTAGGTACCCATTTGGCATATGCTAGCCATAGGCCTAAAAGGATTGGAAGTTATACTTGAAAGATTAACAATCTTTGAAGAAGCCAAATCTTAAAATTTTGAAAGAACTCCTGAAATTCAACTTGAAAACATGGTAGAAGACTAGTATGACACCACCTCAGTCAATGGCTTTACTAATCAAAATTTGAGGGGTACTCAATCTTGTATTCAAATGCTTGAGTTTCAAGCACATACTTTTGAGATCAAGCCTGCCATGATCACAATGCTTTAAATGAATGAGGTGTTTCATGGTCTATTCAATAAAGATGCTAACAAGCATTTGATGTCTTTTACAGAAGTATGTGACTCTTTCAAACAAAATGAGGTGCCTAAAGATGTCTTGCGCTTGTGGTTATTTCCAATTTCTCTATAAGACAAGGCTAAAGAATGGTTCAACAATCTTCTCAAAGGTTCTATTGGTTCATGTGAGGATCTTGAGAATAAGTTTAGAGCTTGATTCTTCTCTAATGATAAAACGGTAGAAACAAGATATGAATTTCTTAGCTTTAAGTAATATCCATATGAGCATCTCTATGCAGCTTGGGAGAGATACAAGATGTTAATAAAGAAATGCCTTAATCATAAGGTGGATAAATGGATAGTAATTCAAATTTTTTGTAATCATCTGAATCCATCTTTTAAGGCCATGGTTGATTTTATCACAAATGGGGGATATCAAAATGTACCTATCAATGAAGTTTTTTGCCTCTTAGATCAATTGTCTGTGAACAACACTCAAAACACGGATAGAACGAATACATCAATGGTGACTAGTGCTAAAGATAATTCTTCTTCCTAAATTGTAGCCATCTTGAATGCAATGAACAAGCGTTTTGATATGTTGGAATCTCAAATGCAAAGGGAAAATTCTCCTAATGTGCATGCTATCCAAGCTATTCCAATTGTGTGCAATCAATGTAACAATATTCACATGCCCGATTAATGTCCTCTTTATATGACCACTGAGTTTGTCAACTATATGGGCAAGTTTTAAAACCCTCACAACAACCCTTACTTTCAAACATATAACTCAGGATGGAGGTATCATCCTAATTTTTCATGGAGTTAAGGGAATTCTTCAAATCAACCTTCATCCTTTAATGTCAAGCTAATTCACCCTCTGAGTTTTCAAGCTCCACCAAAGCCAATATTGGTTAAGGAAGAGGAGTTTAGAATGGAAAAGATGTTATCACAAATCTTGAGTAATCAAGATTCTGCAAGAATTGAAACTAAGGCAACTTTTACTCTTCATGATACCGTAATTAAGAATCTTGAAGTGTAAATAGGGCAATTGGCTTCACAAACGAATATTATGTCAAGAAGTAATCTCCCTAGTGACACCATTCCAAATCCTAAAAAAGATGGTAAGGAAGAGTGTAAAGCAATCACTTTAAGAAGTGGGATGCAATTACCTGAAGTTCTTATGCCAAGTGCAAGTGGTGTGAGTAGTGATGCTACTAAGGTGGTTGTTGATGATGAAGTAATTAATGAAGAAATTATGGTTGAAGAGTGTGACAACTTAAAGAATAATCAAGAAGAGAAAAAGAATGAAGATAAAGCCAAAAAGGTTGGTCATGAGAAAAAATAACAAGAGACTAAGCCAAAATATGTGCCCCTACCACCTTTTCCTCAAAGGCTTAGGAAGCAATAAGAAGATGGCCAACTCAAAAAGTTTCTTGATATATTCAAGCAATTGCATATCAACATTCCTTTTGTGGAAGCTTTGGAGCAAATGCCAAAATATGCTAAGTTCATGAAAGATGTGCTCTCTAAAAAGAGAAGGTTTAATGAGTTTGAGATGGTTATTCTAACTAAGAGTTCTATAGATATCATTAAGCAACTACCTTAAAAGATGAAGGATTCCATTAGCTTCTCAATTCCATGTCATATTGGAAATAAATTTTTGGGTAAGGCATTATGTGATCTTGGTACTAGTATCAATCTTATGCCTCTTTCTATTTTCAATAAATTGGAGTTGGATGAAGCTAGACCAACGACCGTGACTTTGTAATTAGCAAATAGAAGCTTGGCTTATCCATGTGGTGTTATTGAAGATGTTCTTGTGATGGTGGATAAATTCATTTTTCTAATTGACTTCATTATCCTTGATTGTAAGGCGGATTATGATATTCCTATTATCTTAGGAAGACCATTCTTGGCAATCGTTAGAACCTTGATTGATGTTAAAAAAGGTGAGCTTACTATGAGGATGGATGATGACCAAGTCATGTTTAACATGCACAAGTTGATGAAATCTCCCAATGATCTTGAGCAATGCTTCTTTGTTGATATGCTTGATCAAATTGCACAAGAAGAATTCAATGAGGTAATTCCTAATAATGTTTTAGAAGCCTTGTTGCTAGGAGCTCAATTAAAGACTCAAGATAGAGAAGAGTGTATGGCTATCATGAATGCATCATTGGTTTACTCTAGAAACCGTGTCTAATTTGAATCTTTACTTTTATCTTCTCTTGGTAGACCGTCTTTGAAATCCTCTATTGAAGAGCCACCCTCTCTTGAGTTGAAGATATTACCTTCTCATCTTCGGTATGTCTATTTGGAAGCCAATAACACCTTGCCAGTGATTATTATTGCTGACTTGAATGCATAAGAAGAAGATCAACTTGTGGAAGTCTTAAAATCTCACAAAAGAGCTATTGGGTAGACTATTGCCGACATAAAGGGTATTAGCCCTTCAATTTGCATGCATAAGATTTTTCTTGAAGACAATCATAAAACTTTGTGTAACATCAAAGAAGATTGAATCCAATTATGAAGGAAGTAGTGAAGAAGGAGATCTTAAAATGACTTGAGGCGAGCATTGTCTATCCTATCTTTGACAGCTCTTAGGTGAGCCCAGTTCAATGCGTTCTAAAAAAGGGAGGCATGACTGTAGTGGCTAACACCCATAATGAGCTAATTCCTACCCGCACTATTATTGCATGAAGAGTATGTATGGATTACCGAAAGCTAAATGCGACTACTAAGAAAGATCACTTTCCTCTTTCCTTTATCGACTAAATGCCTGACAAATTAGCTGGAAGGGAATTCTTTTACTTCCTTGATGGGTAATCGGGCTATCACAAATTGCCATAGCTCTTGAGGATCAAGAAAAAATGATATTCACTTGTCCTTATGAAACTTTTTCTTTCAAGTGCATGCCTTTTGGGTTATGCAATGCACCGACCATTTTTCAGAGGTGTATGATGGCAATTTTCTTTAGTATGATTGAGCAAACTATGGAAGTCTTTATAGATGACTTCACGATTTGTGGGGATTCTTATGATGAGTGCTTGATCAACTTGGCCAATGTGTTAAAAAGATGTGAAGAGACCAACTTGGTTTTAAATCAGGAAAAATTCCATTTCATGATTAAGGAGGGCATAGTTCTTGGCCATAGAGTCTCTAAAAATGTCTTGGAGGTGGATAGAGCTAAAATTTCTATGATTAAGCAACTTCCTCCACCTACTAATGTTAAGGGTGTGAGAAGCTTTCTTGGCTATATGGGATTTTATCGCTGTTTCATGAAAGACTTATCCAAAATAGTTAAGCCTCTTTACATTCTTCTTGAGAAAGATGTTGAATTCAAATTTGATGATTCATTCTTGAAAGCATTTGAAGAGTTGAAAGAAAAGACTTGTGTCTGCGCCTATCATGGTGGCTCCTAATTGGAGTTTGCCTTTCATTGTGATGTGTAATGCTAGCAACTTTACTGTGGGTACGATGCTAGGTCAAAAGAAAGAAAAAGTGCTTCACCTAATTTACTATGCTAGCAGAACACTTGATGATACTCAAGAAAACTACACCACGACTGAGAAAGAGCTACTTGCAGTGGTGTTTGCTTTTACTAAGTTTAGATCATATCTTGTGAGTACTAAGGTAATAGTTTACACCGACCATCCAGCTTTGAAGTACCTTTTCAGCAAGAGGGAGTCTAAAGCAAGGCTAATTCAATGGGTATTACTTTTACAAGAATTTGACTTGGAGATTGTTGATAGGAAGGGTACTGAGAATCAAGTAGTGGACCATCTCTCTAAGTTGAGTATTGATGCTCAACTTAAATCTAATATCATTATTGATGAAGCTTTTCCTGATGAGCAACTCTTCAAGGTTGACAACATTCAAGCATTGTGGTATGCATACATTGTCAACTATCTTGTTTGTGATATCTTGCCCTTTGATTTGAAGTTTCATCAAAAGAAGAAGTTTTTCCATGATGCTAAGTTATATTTTTAGGAAGAACCTTATTTGTTTTGCCAATGTGCCGACCAAATGATTAGAAATTGTGTTCCTGAGTGTGAGCAACAAGAAATTCTAAGATGTTGCCATTCTTCTAACTATGGAGGCCACTTCAGAGATGACAAGACAGCATCTAAAATCTGCAAAGTGGTTTCTATTGGCCCTCTTTATTCAAGGATGTATATGTCTTTATTTTAAAGTGTGATAGGTGCCAAAGGATGGGTAACATTTCTAAAAGGAACGAAATGCCACTTAACAATATACTTGAAGTAGAATTTTTTGATGTGTGGGGTGTAGACTTCACGGGACCATTTCTTATATCTTTCAACAATCAATATATCCTTGTTGCTGTAGACTATGTCTCATAATGGGTTGAAGTAGTAGCATTCCCCACTAATGATGCTAAAGTAGTGCTTAAGTTCTTGAAGAAGCATATTTTCACCCGTTTTGGAGCACTAAGAGCCATTGTGAGTGATGGTGGTACTCATTTTTGCAACAATCAATTTCAATCTCTCTTGAAGAAATATGGTATCAAGCACAAGGTTGCACTTGCCTACCATTCTCAAACTAAGAGCAAGCTAATATTTCTAATCGAGAAATCAAGAAGATACTTGAAAAGACAGTAGGAGTGATAATCTTAGTCCACTAAACTTAATGATGCATTGTGGACTCATCAAATGGCTTACAAAACTCTTATCGGCATGTCTCCATATCGGTTAATGTTTAGGAAATCCTATCATCTACCTGTAGAGCTAGAATATGGTGCTTATTGGGCTATCCAAAAGCTCAACTTTGATTTTAAGGCTATGGGTGAAAAGAGATTTCTCCAATTGAATAAACTTGATGAATTTCAGTTTAATGCCTATGAGAATGCTAGGCAATACAAGGAGAAGACAAAGAGATGGCATGACAAGAAAATTTTATGCAAAGCATTTGAGCCAGACTAAAAAGTACTCTTGTACAACTCTAGATTAAGATATTTTCTAGAAAACTCAAGTTTAGATGGTTGGGATCATTCAATGTGGTCCAAGCATTCCCTTATGGTGCTGTTGAGCTAGAGAGCATTGAAGGAGAAAGATTTAAAGTTAATGGGCAATGATTGAAGCATTACTGGGGTGGTGAGGTAGACCATGAAGTAATCACCTTACCCTTATTTGATGCCTCTTGAAGAAGAGAAGAGTCATGCTGAATGACTATAAAACAAGCATTGCTTGGGAGGCAACCCAAGCTCTAAACCTTTCATTCTAATTTTTCTTGTGTAGTTTAGTTGTTTTGGTGAAGTTATGTGTGATCTTATCTTTTTTGTAGGTCAACAAGAAGATATGAGGAAGTATAAGCCTTTAGAGAAGCAAGAAATGTGGCCAAAGAACAAAAGAGCATAAAAAAAAGAAAAATTTTAAGGAAGTTAAGCTATTTAAGTTGTTTTTAGGCTTATAAACTTGTCTTGGCAATTATTTTGAGCTTACTGAAGTAAATGCAAATTTTTGTCATTTGATTCTC